ATAGTTCCCTGGTATCGTCCATCGGACCGGTCGAAATTCAACCACAGTCATGTGAATATGGAAGCAATGTGTTACTGAGAGTCATACTGAACGGCATGCAGGATCTCCCCACCCTCCCACGACTAACGCCTCAGAAGACAAACATATCGTGAAGACGGCTCTGCAAAACCCTACATCCACATCACGGTCAATTAGTCAGGAAATGGGCATATTTGCAGCTTGTTCAGTATCCACTCCCACGGTGCGACGACGTTTGTAGTAGCAAGGACTGTTAGCACTGCAATCATTACTTCGGCTTCCTTTGACAATGCAGCACAGAGAGAAATCGTGACTCTGGTGTACCGAATGACAAAGCTGGATACAGGAGTGGCACAATGTCATCTTTTCAGATGAGTGCCAGTTTTGTGTGCAGTATTTTGATGCCCGAATACATGTCTGGAGTCTCCGAGGAGACCACTCTTCTGTTGCTTGAATTCGATATCGTCATAGGTGCCATGCACTTGGTGTGATGGTTTGGGCAGCCATTGGATATACGACACGCTTATCTTTAGTTCGAAGGCAATTTAAACGCAGATTGGTACATTTCTGACATCTTTCTTCCAGCGGTTGTGTCCTACTATTGAGGCCTGCTTAACGCTCTCTTTCAACAAAATAAAACAAAACCACATGCTGTGTATCGTATTTTGACCTTTCTCAATGCACAGGGTATTTGACTGTTGTCCTGGTCTGCTTGGGCCCCAGATCAATCACCCATTGAAAACAACTGCTTATAAGTTGCCGAGAGACTGGTCTTCTCCAGCAAATACGGTTGATAAAATGTGGCATAAACTTGAAGCAGCAGGGAAGGAGTTGCCCGCTCTCTCATCCAAGCCCAGGCCAATCCCTTGCCTTACCGGGTAGGTACCAATTTAGATAACAGGAGTGGCTGCTAATTTCCCATCCCTGTGAACCCCCAAAATGCTTGAAAATGCAATCATTTTGTTCTTATGCCATATTGTTTACGTGTAATAAATATCTTTATTTACATTTGCTTTCCTTTATGGGGTTGCAGTTTTATTGGTCAACAGTGCACTATAAATAATATGCTCATTCAGTTTTAATCTAAATTATCCTTTATTGAAAGTACTCCCCCCCCCCAAAAAAAACATTCAATCTAGGATTAAAAATACTGACCCTTTATAAGGCCGTAGAAGAAGTATAGTTTCCATCAACATTAATTTTTAAATGTCAATGGGAAGCTATTTTCCCATCTATAATATAAAGAGGTTATGAAAAGTGTTGATCTCTGATTAACTTCGAGAAAGATATGAAATTGAACTACATTTTCCAAAATAGAGGCATCAAATTCTATACTTCCTAATTGATCAGGCAATTGGCAATGCTTTCATTCTCTGGAAGGCAAGTAGAAGAAATTCGGGACCTAGGACCAATTAAATTTCCGACTTCGGCTAACACAAATTATCTCTGAAATTTCAAAGCATAAAAGGACCGATCTGTTAGTTTCATGAACAGCAAAAAAATTATTCCAGGTAACGTGTGAATGACTAAAGTTGGTGACCCTACGCAAACTTGACAAAAAATAGATCATGCCGTTTGTGCTCTACTAAAGCTACTGAGAAGTGAATAAGATATGTTTGTGCAGCTTGAAATGCCCTTCTATGTGTTGATCCTTGTTTTCTGAAATTTTTTAGAAAGTAATGTAGGTTTGGATATGTGCACTGTCGCATCCCCCTCCCCATGTTACGTCTAGTGAAGCAATCCACACTGCAGTCACATTCCTCTCTTGTGCCCGATAAAGCCCCGCACGAAGAATGACTGAGACGGAAGCCGAGCGATTCTTAAGATGAGACTTAGGAGAAAGATGTTTTCCTTTGGTGTTCAATATATCTAACTATATTTCATCCTTCACTGTTAATAAATCATTTTTATAACCCTGAGGTTGTAGTAATTTTACCATAATAATATTTATAAATTCTTAACTTTTTTGATACAAAATGTATATAATTTGTAACTTCTTTTTTATAGATTTTTGTTTTTAAAAACTATATTTACAAATATCATTTAATGGGATATTAAAAGAATGCCAATCATAATTTGCATCATAAATCCAAGAGACCCTATCGCTGCAGCACTATCATAAAGGGTTATTCATTATTACCATCAAGGTTTCGAAGCGCTTTGGTGGAAAAAAACTAAGAAGGATACAGCAACAAAGCAGATTTGAAATAATGCAGAAACAATTCATCTTATTTACATACTTTACAGGTGTTCTATGTGGGAAACTCTGATTACACGGCATACATTAATGCGACAGTCCAGTTATTGCCAAACCTCTACTTAACACCTTACTTTTAACGTTATTGACGGCATATGTTATCTTTTCATGCAGTTCTGCAGCATCAAGTGGCAAAAGAGGGGGGGGGGGATGAAAACTTAGTCTTGTGGTGGTCTTCCCCAAAGGACTAATTTTCCGTTGGGAACGAGGGACGTCTCAACGGTCAAGCAGTTTCGCATGGGAAAGTATCCCAGGCTGGACACACCGGTGTTGATGTTCTAAGGGAAGTAAACTTCTGACCTCTCTTGATATAGCTGACAGAAGGTGACCAGCGCAGTTCCCACTCCAGCCGCCGGCTTCAAAGTACACCACGCGAAGGGGCACTTGGACGAATAGTAGAATTTCCCGAATACGTCCAAACAGAAGTGACTCTACATCACGTATCACTTCCGTCGGCGGGACGTATTCCACCTTGAAAGAGAATCTCGAATAGCTAGGAAAGTCTCAGAGACACCAACACTAACACACAGAGACATTTCTAGAAGCTTCTGTATTTCAACAGTCTCTGCAACAGCTTTACCAGCACCTGCACCCTAGCGTTTCCCAGCTCGTTTTAACGCCGCCTCCATCAGAAGATATCCATGGCATAAGCAGCGAACTCAACAACGTCCCCCTTAATAGAACCCGGCATCGCAGAACACTAGCGTCCCGGCAGTCTTATGTAAAAGATCAAGTTTTAGGATAACGCTTGCTTTCAATAACGTTAACAGTACCATGCTGAGTGGAGTTGGACAAGAACTGGATTATCGCATTGTGATGTCTGCCGTGTATAACCAAAATTTCTCACATAGAACAACTGCAAAGTATGTAAATAAGATTTGAACTGCTTCTGTATTCTTTCAAATGTTCGTTTTTGCTGTATATTCCTCTTAGTTTTTTCCCCACTGTAGATGTTGAAAAGGAAGCAATAAATTGGTCAATGTGGTTTCCTCCCTACTAGTAACCCTGTATTCAAGCAAATGTAATTAATTATATTTAAGTTTCCGTCTGCCTAATACGCTCTGTGTTACGGTTTGGCTTTTGCGAGCTCTGTGTGTGTGATGTTAAGAATTTTAAGTTTATACGTAAGTAACATCAAAAATAGTCTGTGAAATTAATGTTTGTAACTGTGTTTGTGTGTGAATAAACAGTGTTTTTTTAATTAACCAGCATTTCATCATTCCTGGGGACCTAAGATTTTTATTATATTTTATTTTAAATGATGAATACGCAACAGTAAAGATTCGAAATTCCAGAGGGAGTTATGAATAACTCTGTAATGTGAGCATTAATTTCAAAAATTTTGAAGATAAAACTTAACACACATTTATTTTTGCATATGACTATTCGTATATTATGAGGAAAAAAAACGACCTTTACATCTTACCTAAGGTCTATTTCAGAAAGATAAAGAGGCTCCTTCGGTAGATCAGTCCTTCTGATAGAACTTAATTGATTCCTTGGCAACCTCAAATGGATCAAGTCATCGAAAGCAGCAAACGCTCCACTCCCAATCATCTCCAACCTACTGTCCGATATTGTGACCGTTTGGACATTGCCATCAGCCACTTTTTTAAAATCTGAAGATAATCGTCTAAGACCACACCCTTCTAGCCTGATCTCCACACCTGTTCTATTCGGAGACTTTAGGTATTCGAGGGGTGTCCAATTCCAGCCTCGTCGCACTCTGACCCCCAATAGTTCGATAAGAGCATTATTCTCGAACGCCACTCCCCTGAAGGCGGAAGTGTAGGGTGTAGCATCGAAGAGATAGTCGAAGGTTGCATTTGATATCTTCAGGTGAAGATTCTGGACTTGACCAACTTTGGAAAAGAGATTGGGTGGCAAGGAAAAGTGCTGGCCTCCTTTGATGGTAAAGGAGAAATTAATGCATGGTCGAAATGAATTGGACAACTCCTGTAATATAAAATAAAGTCATATTTTATTTAACATTCATTTCCAGATTTATTGTGAATTGGAAATCTATATTACATACTTTTCATATCAATGGTACTTATTAATTGAAGTTTATATAAGTGGAAAACATTGTAGAATATAAATAAAAACAAGTAATAAAAAATATAAGTCAATTCCTATTTTGAATGGATAAATAGAAAGTATTTTATTAACGCTTGAAAATTTGTACAAGATATATATATATATATATATATACAAAAAGAAATATATATACATAGTTAAAGAGTGAACTAATAGTAGGAATTGAAAAAAGAGCAGGATTTGTCTGCATTTTTGTAAGGTTTGGCTAGTTCAAGGGTGGCCAAACCGCGATTTGGGGGTCACATGTGGCTCACCTTGAATAATTTTACGGCCCTCAAGATTCATTACAAATTACAAAATGCGATTATTTTGTGTAATATTTTTGTTTTTAGTGTAGTGTTTTGTAACAAATATATCCCATACATATTTCTGTTTTATTACGATGCTTCTGTTTTTATACATACTTAGGAGAGAGCAATATTGCATTGCAGTGATCCCCCGCTGCCGCCCGCTTGCTTCCTGTAACTTTCTCTCGTTTGGGACGAAATGGTGAAATAGTAATAAATACTCCATTAAGGTGCTCAACCCTCAATGTATTAGCGTCGAATGACTAGTGAATTCGATGAAAATAGCCTTCGAAATTCATGCTAAGCTCATATACAATTAAGTTTCACTTACTTCTAGTGATGCAGTGGCATAGTTGGTAGTGCACCTGCTTTCTGAGCTGGTGGATAGGGTTCGAGTCACGCGATCAACTTTTTTTTTCCCAATTCATTTATTTATTTTTTAAAATGAACTAAATTTACTTAAAAAGGATTTATTAAATATTTTAAATAAAATAATTAAATTAATAATATATAAAAAAGATATATATTATTTTTATTATATTAATTATAAAATAATTAATTTTTAATAATAGAAAATTTTATAGATTATTTTATATTAATTTATAATATTTTATTTATAATATATTGTATTTCAGATTATAAAACTATTTGTAACCTAATTTTTATATAAAATATCATTTAATATTTAGTATAATATATTTTATTAAAATTATTTATTAATATAAAATAAATTTATAAAATATAACATTTTTTTTTCTTCAATGGGCTGCACATTGTATTTTTAAACTTTGCAGACCTAGTACATTCCCCAGGAGCTGGTACCACTTTTTAGCGCTGCACCATATAGCGATACCAATTAAGCAAGTAATTTGACGCTCAGTTTCCTCCATAATGGAGGCACCTGAGCTCTGGACGATGCGAATTTAGTACTAGGATTTTATTTTGCCGAGAGTATCCAAGCAAACAGACACTCTAAGGATTTTTCACATGCCATATAATCATACGACATGGCCGCTGTCGATTTTCTCATCAAGAAATCCACCGACTTAGGCCGGGTCGAACACGCAACCTTGGGTGTAGAGGGCCAGCGACAAACCAACCAGCCGCCTATCGGCTATATTTATATTATTACAGTAATTATTTTACTTCATAAAATACAAAATAATTATATAACATATCATTTAATATTTAATAAACCTTTTTTTAAATAAATTTATTTAATTAAAAAAATAATTAAATGAATTGAAAAAAAATGACTATCGCGCTTTTCGAACCCTATCCGACCGCGTAGAAAGCAGGCATACTATCAACTATGACATTGCGTCGCTGGAGGTAATTAAAACTTAATTCTATAAAAGCTAAGCATGAATTTCGAAGGCTATTTTCTCCGGAATGGCTGGCATTCGGCGCTAATACATTGAGATTTGAACACCCTAAAGGAGTACTACTATTATACCAAGTCTCGTCCCCAAATGAATTTCCTTAGCCGTGCCCTCCCCTTGTCAGCAACATAAAGAAAGGCATGATATTAGAGCATTCGAAGATAACAATGATTTAATCCACTACAGAGCTAAATCAGATTTTTTGTTTTAATAAATATTACATATAATAAAGGGCTATGATATTTTTTAAGAAATATATATAATACTTATAAAAGAATCATAATTTAGCAGTAGAGAAAAGTACAATTTTGCGGAACGGTTAATGTAATAGAATTAATCCAATGTGTGTACGTTGTTGAAACATATACTTGAAGAAGTAAAATATAGAACGTCAAAAAAATCTTAATAAATTAGTATTTTAGAAAAGAAATCGGATGTTTCCTTTCTAAAATCATTCCAACATGCATTAATCCCCGTCTTCCCAAACCAAATTAAAATATTATGAATTTGATGTTCAATTCATTTTATTTTTTATTTCGGTAAAATTTTAAAATACAAATATATGACATTTTTACTGGTATATTAAACATTAATATATATTATGCATACATGAATATTTTTCAAACATTGCAAATTGCTATTTAATCATTAATATCAGTTTTATCATGATTTTTTTCCAGTAAATCACGAATCCATTCGAAAAAGACAACAAATAAAAACAGTCAGTTGTTAATCTTTTTTTGTTATATATATATATATATATGACAGATATTATATTAAATTTTATGCAGAAGTCATAAATTCTATTTTAAATTTAAGATACAAAACCATCGTTGCTTTAAATACAGGTATAACTGAAATTTATAGTCCTAATATATCTGAAAATAAATTCTAATAATGACTGAACTGAAAAAATAAATAAAAGGAATATATTTGAGTTATTTTTTCCCTTGATCTTAGTCTAAATAATGTATTTCAATATTTTAGGAATTAAAGCTTGCATTCATAAAATTAAAAAAAAAATAACACATAAATTTGCAAATTTTTAAATGTTGAAATAAGTTATTTGATATTATCAATATTTAATGTTTCTTTATGCTGAAAATCTTTTTCGTTCCCTAATTAAAAACTAGCCCCTGATATAAGAATATTTTTTCATTCGCATTCATTTCTTATTCATGTGTTAAAAACGAAACCTACGAGAAGAAAAATTTTGCTTTGAAATGTAATACAAATATTTACTTTATCGATTAGTTTAATTTTTATTTTTCATTAATACATTCATTCGTTTACTTTAACAGAAGAATGCATGATAACCTTCTTTAAAACGAGTATAAATTCATCTGCAAATAATCAGCTCTAGATATTTATATGCATTGCATTATGCGTAATTTACACCAAAGGGAAACGGAACAATCCCCCCCCCCTTCATAATACGAAACTATTTAACATTTCTTTCTTTCTTTTTTTTCTTCACATTTTCTGCTTACTTTTTCCTTTTTTTATTACTTTTATGGCAATATTTTTTAAATTTAACAAAAAGACTTAATTTGAAGAACAAATATTCAAAATTTGTATAAAACTTCAAATTTTTTTTTTTAATTGGAAAAACTATTTATTGAACTTTATTGCTAAATTTAAAAACAGTTCTAGATTTTTAATTTTACTAATTTAACAAGTAGTGAGTAACTAATAATTTTTATTCAGTATCTTTTTATAAATATTTGTGAATATCTCTGTAAATATTTTTTTTTTCATTTCAATGTACCTTTATAGCGTACGCGCTCATATGTGTGTGATTTTTTGATTTTTATTGCTACAGAAAAAAGCCAAAATAAATTTTATTAAAGAAAAGTAGGTATTTTAGTGTTTTTACCATTTATTGCAATGAGTGGACACCTACAAAATAATAAAAAAATATATCAGGTACATAAAAACTTCATTAGCATTAAATTTAAAGAAATAAGCAGTGTATTATAAAGTGGAAGACGGGGAAAACCTTCGACGGGACTGATTGACGGTACGAGGAGAGAGTGGGTTATGAACCGTTATGAAATATACATTGTATTAAGGTACTACTTGCGACAACTTTTTTTTTTAAATGAAAATATGGGGATTTTTTTTGTTGTTTTTAGATTTGCTTAGTACATTTTAAGAAAAATATGCTAAAATTAAGAAGAAAAAAAAATTATTATTATTACTAAAATGGGAAAAAATGGGTAAAAATTTAGAAAAAATAACATAAACGCGGCCCATTCTGTACCCAAAGTTTATGAACCAATTTTCATTTTTTCAATTCCGATGTGTTGCTACGTTACTCATTTTTGAAATGACCTCCATGATAATAGATATTTTAATTTGTACAAAAATTAGAGCATTTTATCTTAGTTATTTTATGAAATTGCTTAAAAAAACTTTGATTGTATCAACACAAGAGACTAACTTTTGTAAGAAAACAGAGATTGATAAATCTGATTCTACTATTATACAGAACATACACAAAAAAATCCAGTTAATTTTTTTAAAAACTTTTTTAGCAATCAACTGGCCCCGTTTGAGCATTTTCGGAACTCGAAAATTCGTTTCGAGTAAAGAGCATTTTAAAGTATGACGTTTGGCTTAAAAAGTATCGGCATCTCTTTTTACTAAAACACTTGTAGATTTTGTTCTAGTGAACGGAAAATAATAAACTTGGTATTTTTATAAAGCTAATAAAATGGCCTATAAAATAAAATCATAAAAAAATTTATTTGTCATTTTTTGGCAAATTTCACAATTTTAGGGTAGTTGGATGCTTTAATCAGTACTCAGTACTCATTAATAATCGCTTTGGGTTATTTATATTGTAGAAAAATAATTTTATGTTGAGGCTGAAATCATCTAACTAGAATTATGCCCTCTTCCTTTTTTTTTTGAAAATTCAGCCCCTTTGTTGCAATATTAAAAATTCTTAAATGATTTTTTTTAAAATTATTTTTCTTCTAATTTCTATACCATAGAACATTTTTTCCGCACAGGTAAGTTAAAACTTAAATAATTTTTTTCTCCATATAACCGCAAAATTAACCCTAATACATATACAGTAAAATACGTTCAACGCGAAAACGTTTAAGACGAAATAATACAACAGTACCGTCAAACTACTATGTATTTTCATGCATTTTTTCTCTTCACCCTTACCTTAGCGAAAATTGCTCAACACGAAAAGATTTTCCTACTGGGAGAAGGAGGATATTTAAAATGAGCTGACAATTAATGAAATGTTTGAGAAAGTTTCTATATTATTGATTGTCCTACTGTATCATCGGAGAAATTCGTGGCAGTGAATGAAGGTAATGAGTGTACAGCCCCTAATGTGACAAACAAAGACATTTTGGAGTTTGTTAAAAGCTAAAAAATATCATTGATGCAGTTTCCGACGACGAAAATGAAATAAATAATGCAGTTCCTGTTCCCACGCCATGCGAAATGAGAAACATTATGAAAAGTATGCGCAGTTATTTAGACGCACATTCCAATGAGGAAATAAATACCAATATGGGTGACATCTAACAATTTGTTGACAATTTAATGCTAAAAAAGACAATGTAAAGAAAAATATCAGATTATTTTCCGAAAACTAGATAAGTGTTTTGTTTTTTGAAAAACTTGAAAACCTAAGTTCAAGTAAGTAACTCAAAGTAGTTAACTCTTTAAGTTCTTGTGAATGTTTTTGTTTAATTGATTTTTGTCAAATACATGCATATACATATATGTGGGAATTGATTCCTTAGTTCTCCACCAGAATGCAGCACCTTTGTTACTGATACCCCCTGCAGCCGCAGATCACAAAGACAGAGATTTGGACCGGAAACTCTCGCGTAGGAGAAACGTCTAACCGAGGCTCTCGCACGAGGAGAAACTAACTTCTAATTATCTGATCGCGAGTAGGCGACCAGATATACCTTAAACATACGCGAGGGCTGTTTATAGGTGTATGAACTCTCTCCAAGTCTGGAAAACGGAACTGTACATTTCTTTGTAAATAT